GATTATAAGAAAAAAAAAATCGATTAATATGAAAATCGATTATTTTTTCACATCCCTAGGACTAATGAGGAAATATTTATTTATTTATTTAACAGTTTATGTACACACATAATTCGATAGGAAAATGGTAAAAACATAATTATGTACAAAGGCACTGCCTATTCCATGATGAAATTTCTTCCAGCAGGCCTATTGAAGGATAGTTGAAGGAAATAGAGGTAGTCAAAGTGTGTACTTACATAAATATATATATACAATACAAATACACACACACACACACACACACACACACACACACACACACACACACACACACACATATATATATATATATAAATATTATATATTATGAAAAACTATATAATTCAATATAATATATATTTTAATGTTACTTATATGCATACCAACACATTACGATTTAATAATTATGGAGTGAAATATTGATTCATTGTTCATTGATTGATTCTCACAACGAATCAGTTATATGGAACCCCAAACATGAGCAACATAAAAATAAAACCAGAGTAAGTAACTTGCCTAACTGCATTAAATAATACATGTTTAGTTGCGATTTCAGAGTACCTACCTAATGATAAATATTATTATAAATTATCTCTGCGTTTATGTTGCTCAGGGATAATGTAGCTTAGGGGCTTATTTTGGGCTATCATTTATTTTGAAAAAACCCCCAGCGAAGCGGGCACGGGTCAGCTAGTAGATCCTATAAAGGTTTCTTTTTCCTTTTGAGGTCGGAACCCTAAAAAGGACAAACTGGGATTATTGTTGTATGTGTAGTTTTTTTCGTTCACTCTGAGAAGAGTGAAGCGCTGTATAAGTATATGACAGCGGCCGCGATTGTCCTAACGTCCATCATCATCTAGCTATCAACCAAAGAGTATAGTAACTGTCCTATACAGGAAACTGGAGCCATAAGATAAGCATCATACTAGTCTGTGGTGCTTACGTTGTATATTTTTTTATAACTGGCTTTACGGCTCTGGGTTCTAGCTCTTCTAAGCCTGAAGTTACAATGTATAATTATTTAATTATCCTTCATAGTACACTGCTTCACAATATGTTGATGCGTCACATTTAATAATTGCTATAAACGCTGACACTTTAGATCCATTTAATTTTATAATTATGTGATCTAGGCAACTATTTTCACGAGTAGGAAAATTATGTCCATTTAATAAACCGTGTGTAGACAACATGTACAAATAATTTATTCTGTTATTGCATTCATATAATTTTTCATTAGATTTAGGAATTATATTTATATTTATGTCACCTGTGATAGTAACATTAGCAGAATTTATAGTTGACAAATGGTTATTTAGAGAATCTATAAAATTTGACGCGTTACTATTGGATTGAGAGCGTTATATACCAAGTACAACATGGTTAAAAATATTTACTTGTAAGCATGACGCCTCTTTTAATACAACTTCTGTAATGTTAGCTTTTAATAATGATTTTGTATATATCACTACACCATCATTCTGATTAATATGATGTGTTTTTGCAAGATGAGTATAGTTTGGAAGAATAGGAATAGCTTTGCTTTTATCTAGATGACACTCTGTTAGGACCAATACATCAGGATCAAATTCTAGTTGCGCAATAGTTACCAAAGGATCATCAAAATTACAATTCACGCTTCTTATATTTTGCTTAAAGATAGTAAGATCTGATAAATACATAGTATTTATATATTATATATTTATTTTAAACTAGATGGCCCGGCAGACGTTATAAATAATTATCCCCATACTGGTTGCTGACGCCATGAGTTTCATTTTCACACAGACTTTTCTATAGATTTAATAAATGTATACGTATTGTATAACCATAGACTTAGAATATATATACCAAATTAAGCTGCATTTGCCGCGGTCAGTCAGTCGCGTTTGTGGCCGTGACCGTTTACTTAACATACCGAGTTTGAGAGAATAGAGAGTACATCTGTATCCTCAGACACTTGGTGTACTTTAATATCTCCTGCGTATTTAGTTTGTCTCTATTAATATCATTAAGTTTTTAAAATTCATGCTGCAAACATTTTTTTTATAGGATCGGGTGACAAACGAGCACACAGTCCACCTGATGGTAAGTGGTTCCTGTGGCCCATAGACATCTACATCTATCCTCAATAAAGACTCAAGATGCAGATGCGTTTATTATCACTTTACATTTTTCAAAGACAGATGAAAGAGAGAGTAGCCTTATTGTATGTTAATCGAGACAAAACCCCTCCACCTATGAAATCACAAGATCAAGAAAGAAGTGATAAACTTACACCACATTTCGCCATTCGCAGTAGGCTTTCCGACTGGCTTATCTCTATCTAATAAAGCCTGTAACTTTACGTATTTGTACGGCCGTTGCTTGTTTTTTTTTTTAATATTCTGTGAACAGACGTGCGGTGTACACAGAATTGGCGAGCTGCTCCACGGAGACTTGACGTTGGATAACGAGCGAAATAATTTAATATTTGTTCTTCCTGAGCCACGGCGACTCGCGGAAGAATTTCAACCTGACTCAGGATCAAATGTTCGCCGTCACGTAATCTTTGGACTCCCCATATAAAAATCCATGAGTCTGTAGGACATACACGTGTGGTGTTATACCTCTCTCGGTATGTTCGAATGCCAGGGACGCGTTTTGGTGACATTCTCCGTAAATCAAAATCATGTCGGTGTATTCCAATGGCCAAAAATTGATACACAAAATAAAAAAAACAACAATTATAACTTTAAATTAAAAGGACGTGTATGCGATAAACTAAAATTAGGTCAAGCAATTCATGAACCATTCCCAAGGACGCCGGCGTCGGACTAAGTGACTACTGTCTTGCTTTATTGTCGCACGCTCCAGTCGACAACACGCACCGTCCCGACACCCCGTCCCAATTCTTGTCACATCGCGAATAGAGAATAATGCCTTAAGTCGTCTACTTTAAGTAAATTTTTCGCTTGAATTTGTTTTCACACACCCGCAGCGCGCGGTCCCTTTATTTTTAATTTCGCACATAAGAATTATGCCTTATATTATTAGCCATAAGTACACTTTTTGCTTGATTTACTACTTTATTTGAGTAATTCTAATTGGCAACTTTTGAACTAGGTATCTTCCTACTAGGCCTTCACGGGCCATGGGTCTTTGAACTTCTAGTATTCATCAGGTGATATCTGATGCATTTGCATGATGTTGTTTAATATTAAAACGAAAAAAAGCTACCGTGACTAGAATATTGTTATATTTTTTTTAGTTGTGTATGTTTAAAGAACTTTGTGTAGGATACGTCTTTTCATTAAACGTGATAATTTCATCGTCACTTGGTATAACGCGCATGACATTTCGTGACTAATAACGTCGTCTTGGCCATTTCGAGACTGTTCTAACACATGTTTACGGTTTTGACTTGCTTACACGTGCTCTATAGCTTGCTTATAAATACTTTAAGCTACGCAATGTGACGCATCAACATAAGCAGTATGATTATTATCACTTGATTTACTGAGTTAAATGAAATCACGGCTTAAAAGACAAGCATCCACACCATAAATCTTAATTAAAAATCGCAGATTAATGTTATCTGTCTGTGCGTTTGTGACATTGGCAGAATTTCAATTAGGAATAAGAAAGTGCACCAAATTGTCATCTTGTACATACAACTTTATAATTTGTGATTGTCATCATCTCCACAAATTATAAAGTTGTATGATCATCTCTTTACGATTATCTGCCCCCTGACATCCCTCGTCCCATAGACTTTAACTCCCTTCTAATCTTCACAAATAGGGTAAGCAGTAGTAATGTTGGCCCCCCCTCAATGATTGGCCTCTCGAATGTAAAATCAATATATTAAGAGTTAGCCTGGAGTACAAGGTAGAAAAAAATTGTTATATTTTTCTTTGATGACAACACTCTAGAACGTAACTGGTAGTTTTAAAACTTAACAGCTAGCAACACTCGAAAAAAAATCACTTTGCAGCTACTACAACTAAGGGAGTGTTTTGTTGCGAAAATCGTAAGAAGTAAGTACTTTTATATTGATATTTACCCGTTTTCTTCTTATTCTAATTGTGAGATATGTATTTCTATATGTTAATTACCATTCAATTTAGATTTTTATACTATAATTGATGGAAAAATACTCAAGATAACCTAAAAATAAGTAGGCCAAAGTTAGTATCCATGGTTAATATGAAAGATTAATTGATTGACATCCCTGCCAATAATACTAATAAGCGTTTTAAATTAATTCCAATATTTTAAGCTTTTGATAAATGCTACTGACAACTCCCTTTTAAATTACAATAATCAAAATGTCATAAGTTCGCAGTAACTATATTTTGGCGGGGCCAATCATTATACATTTACGTTATTAGCCGTGATAATCATTATACTTTTAGCTATGCTAATTTTTGTACAAAGAGATCTTAAATACGCAGTGATGTACCGATGTCGATACTAAATTAATCCAATATGGATGTTTTAATAATACTTATTTTTATCTACAATACTAAAAACTATAATAATAATTAAAAAAAAATTAAAACTAGAAACTTAAATATCATATAGTCCTACTCCCCGCGTTATCGTGCCAAGAACGCTGGCTGCGTAAATACTAAATTAAATTAAATACTAAATTATGTATACTTATTAATGTATTTTTATGGGTTACATATTAAACGCATGTTTAAATGTCTAATTCTTTGCCTGAGCATTTTGGTGAATGTTCACACACAAATGTCATGTGTTGTTTAATTCAGCTTAATATCGTTTAAAACTTTTGAAACCTAAGATTTTTCTTATCTTTTTAGTATAGCATATATATCTGGTTTTACTTCAAAAATAATTTATTAGTTTTTGTTTCCATGCTATATTTCTACTTTTTCGTAAGTTCTATATAGTAACTAATAAAACAAGTCAATATTTAAAAACACCATTGTGATTTTTACAAAAAAAATTAGCTTATACATTGTTGCAGAAAAATGCCAAAGTCTGCAAAAGGAGAAGTATATAAAAAAAAATATACTGAGGAAGATTTAGAAGCGGCAATCCAAGCAATTCAAAATGGTATGTCTAAAAGAGCAGCTGCCAAAGTATTTGGGATACCTCGAGGAACTTTGCAGTTTCGATTACAAGGGAATTTTTTAAAAACGAGACCGGGTCCGCCTACAATCCTTACAAATGACGAGGAAAACACTTTGGTTGAGTGGATAATACAAAGCAGTAGAAAAGGTTTTCCACGGCGTAAAGAAGATCTATTACATAGTGTTACTGACTTTCTAAAGAAATCACCTAGGCCAAATAATTTTATAGATAATAAGCCAGGAGAGGGGTGGTACAAGTTGTTTCTTAAACGTCACCCCGAAATAGTACAAAGAACGGCTGAAGCTGTTACTTCGGCAAGTGCCAATGTATCAGAAAAGAACATCAAAAAATGGTTTCAGCAAATTGAAACTTGGTTAGAAGAAGAAGAATTCCTGCATATCCTACGAGATCCTAAACGTATTTTTAACGGTGATGAAACAAATTTCTTGTTATGTCCAAAAACCTCCAAAGTTTTAGCCCTAAAAGGTACTCGCGACGTGTATGAAGTGGATAACGCGCCTGCGAAATGTGGACTGACAGTGATGTTCACATTTTCGGCTACCGGAGTTATTACACCACCGATGATTATCTACCCACTCAAACGTAACAGAGCAGATATTACGGCGTCTGTACCACCAGAATGGGGTATAGGTCTGTCATCAAATGGATGGATGAACAAAGATCTATTTTTACAATACATTACTAATGTTTTACATCCACATCTTGTAAAAGAAAATACAAAATTCCCCATTCTTCTGTTTGTTGATGGACACAAAAGTCATATCAATTTTGAACTTAGCAAAGCATGCAAAGAAAGAGGTATAATACTTATAGCATTATACCCAAACGCGACTCGCATCTTACAACCCGCAGATGTAGCTGCCTTTAAGCCTATAAAAAGTGCATGGAAAAAAGGAGTATTAGAATGGAGAAGGGAAAATGCGACAAAAAATTTGACAAAAATTGATTTTGGTCCAATACTAAGCATTGTATTAAAGAAATATATAGACAAACAAATTATTATAAACGGATTTCGAGCTTGTGGATTGTATCCTTGGAATCCAAATGCAATTAACTACCAAAAATGCCTTGGCAAAAATGTGACCCAATCGACCAGAATTCAAGAAAACAGACCACAAAGGGCAATTACATTCACAGACTTTGAAAAAATCGTGGGACAAAACATCGTATCCCGTCTTACTTCTGAGACACCCGATAAATCAAATTGTTTTTACAAAGCACTAAAAGACATATACGACCATTTGAAGGGTAAAGATATAGAACAGGAAGACAGTACTACTTCAAGCGATTATTTAGTAATAGAAAATGAATTGATTACAATAAATGACATACCGATCGTAATTTCAAACTCCAATAATATTGAAGAATCTCATACTGACACTATTGAAACTGAAACTACAGAGTATACTGAATTACTTACAACAGACTTATTTGACGATTTGGAGACCCTAAACCTAACAGAGTCCTACGATTTGTCAGCAGATATTCGGAATACTATTAAAATGAATAATAATTACAAACAGAGCCAACTTATAGCGAATTCAGATTCAGACACACAAAATGACTTAAAAAATGAAATATTAAATGTTCTGGAACCTACCAGTGATAATGTCGTTAAAGGCCCTAATCAATTGATGTCGCCTAAATTAAAAGCTATTGCTGAAATGTATAATGTTGAAAAACCGAGCGAAAGTACAGGGACTGTTAATGTTCTAAACAAAGAATCAAATGAAATAACAAACCCAAATTTATTAGTAATAGATAACGTTACAGAGACTATTAATAAATCAAATATTAATAACCAAAACCAAATAGCAGAGACAGAAAATAACAAAAAATATGATTTTAATTTTGACAATGCTAAATGCGATAACGAAATGACACCACCGAAATTAAAGGAAATTCTCAATTGGCCCCAGACACCACAACGTAAAGGGAAAATTATGACCCACAATCCCATTTATGTCTTGACTAGCCGTGAATGGCTTGAAATCGAGGAAAAGAAAAAAAATGAGAAGAAAACAAAAGAAAAAGAGAAAGAAGAACGTAAAAAAGAGAGAGAAGAGAAAAGAAAACAGACATTAAAAAGCGTAATAAAAATATCAAAGCATACCAAAAATATGAAAATCGATTCGGAAAACTTAGAAAACATTGAAATATTAAGACAAGAAGAAAAAGTTTCTAGGCATCTATTAAATAAAAACTCAAAAATTTAAGAAAATAACAGAAAAAATAAAGAGGAAACAAAAACCGAAATAAAAGAACGAAAAAGAAAATATGATAAATCAATAACCACTGCATACAGTAAAAAAATTAAAATAGATGTATGTGATAAAGAGACTGAGAACAATATTTTTAAGTGTGATGATACCAAGACTGAGTTATTAGATATAGACCAGATTAAAAAAACTACTCCAAAGCCTAATAAAGAAAGTAACATTAAAATTTTGTCTGTTGTGAAGGCGCCAGTTATGCATAATCCAAGAAATATTTTTAATGAAAACAGTTGCATTGATACAAAGGTACCATTCGTTTTATCCAAACCCAACTCTATACTAAACAGAAGAGAGACATTCCGTAATGAAGAAGAACTTAGTAATTTTCTTAATAATGAATACCTAAATATGGACGAAAGCTCAATGTAAATATAAATCGATAAAAAAAATTATACCCTGCACATCACTATCGTTAAATATTATATTTTTTTTAGTGATTGACCCTAACATGGTATAATAATTGGCAGTGCTAATAAACACAAAGTACAATGATTGACATGACATGACATGCCAATAATTATACTTTTGATATGCCAATTTCTATACACCAATGGCCAATGATTGTACTTTTGGCTCCTTTTTTATGTTTATTGCAATAAAAATATTAATTAGATGCAAAATGATTATGGTTTTGATTTATTCAATTTCCCAGGTTCTTAAGACACAACTTGACAGCAAATGTTATATGATTATGAACCTTATTTAGGCATAAGAAATTTTCAAAGTCAATGATCACCTTAAAGGGCCAATCATTGTACTCCTTACCCTACCTCTTTTGTATATATTTTATGTGATTTTATTAACTCTAACAACATTAAACTATAATTTGTCTGTCATATAATAACACATTTGTATTGTTCTAACAACATTGTCTGTCTCAGTCTGTATTTTGTTTTAGGTGATTCAGCAGTTAAGTTGACCAAAATCATTCACATAATATTCGTTTGTTACCATTTCTTGTATTATCAATTTCCTTTTTTAAGCAGAGTTTGTTTGTGTCCCAACTAAACCTTCTCACATGTAACATGTCATTGGCGAATTCATCGTAACCGCCATAAAGGAAGAAGAAGAAGAAGAATAAGAAAGTGAACAAAATATATCGATATTTATCGTATCTTAATTTTTAAATAGTACCCAAAAGTCCGAAATATATCCATAATTATCGCGTGATAAATATCGATATATCGGCATGGTTTGCATGAGGTAATAGGATGAGGGCCAAAACAGCACGTGTATCCTTTTGTTTTGTCTATTAAATCTATTAAATTATAAAAATAAATATATCATTTATTGAATGAAGTTTTTTATTTATTAATAAATACAATAATTTATAATAATCTTAAAATAGCTATAGAAAAAATTCTAAATATAACTTCAAATACAAGAGTCTGGTCTCAAGCTACTTTACTTAAAAAAGTTGTTAGTTTTGGTGTAAGAAATCTTTCTAGCGTTGCATCGGCTGCTTTCCTTGCTTTCGTACATAATGTGAGTCACTTATGTTTTTTTTTTCACTTATGAAAAGTCACTTATGTAATATAAATTTAAATAATAAAGTAGACTTGTGCTTTGCTACAGAGGCAGGGCAGACATGGCGAAAGCTTTGTCCCGCCGAGAATGTTCCACTGGGAGTTAACCAACAAAAGCAGTGGGATATTCCGTTGGTACAGAGTGTGCAGAAAAAGTTGTTACATAATTTCCATATTAACCAAGATCAGGCACGCCTTCTAGCTAGGTTTCGACTAAGGAATCTCGTCACTCGCTTTACCATAATTAATCTCAGCACACTACTTGATCAAGAAAGATTGCGCATTGTAGTAGGAATTCAACTAGGAGCAGCGATTTGTCAACCCCGTTAGTGCCCCTGTGGTAGCAGCGTCAACTTGTTGAGGTTCCACGGACTTTCATGTAACAAAGGTGCTGGTAGGTTTTCATGGCACGGTTCTTTGAACGATGTCATCCGAAGGGCTCTTGTCTCTACGAGGGTGACACTGAAAGTTTTTAGAACTGGGCACTTGTAAACGATTTAATAAAAAAATAAGTTCAAATTTTGAAAATGGAATTCTTTGCCAATATTATTGTGTATGTATTTTATTAAATTGTCATTTGTTTACATGAAAATTGTCTGTGTTACGTCAGCATGAATTTCACGTGAGAAAATTTTCGTACAATGATTTTTTATTACGTTCGATGTCATTTAAGTCAACAATAAAGTTATGGCAGACTTCGATTGGCATCTCACGATGTAGACCCATCTCGTGCCACTGTTTAAAACTGGTTTGATGAGTTTAAACGTGGTCGCACTAATCTTACCGATGATCTACGTGAAAGACGGCCTTCTACGGCGACGACTGAAGATAACATCAGTGTTGTGCAGCGTATGATAGAGACTGACAAAAGAATGACTTATCAGCTGATACGGACAAGCTTACGCATTGGTACGAGTCAAGTGCACAAAATCCTCTATGAACATTTAGCGGTCAGGAAGCTTTGTGCCCCATGTATACCTCATAATATGACAGAGGCCCAAAAACTCCGTCGTGTTGATTGGTGTCGTGAAATGATTCAAAGATTTAACGGAAGTGACTCAAATGCTGTGTTCGACATACATATGGCTGACGAAAGCTGGATTTATTGTTATGATCCTGAAACTAAGAGACAGTCTACTGTCTGGGTGTTTCCATCCTAGGAGTTGCCAACTAAAGTGAAGAGAGATCAAAGCGTGGGAGAAAAGATGGTGGCATCGTTCTTCGGGAGGACAGGTCATTACGCAACAATCGTTTTAGAAGATCGAAAAACAGTTACTGCAGATTGGTACATTAACAATTGTTTGCCACTTGTCATGGTAAAAGTTCGGGAGAAACGCCCTCGCAATAGGATTCTCCTTCACCACGACAACGCCTCAATCAACTAATATGCAACGTCAGATGTGGAATTACTCGGTCACTCACTCTATAGCCCTGAACTCGCACCTTGCAATTTTTATTTATTTCCGAAAATAAAAATAAAAAACTTCGGGAAAAACGTTTTAATGACGCCGACGAAGCAGTGGATGCGTTTCAAAATGCCGTCGAAGAGACACCTAAAGATGAGTGGGCAAAGTGCTTTTCTCAGTGGTTTCATCGGATGCATCTATGTATTGAAGTAAATGGACACTACTTTGTAAAGATATAATAAAACTAATAACTTGCTAGTTTGTTCAGTTTTTGATTTTCTAAGAACTTTCAATGCCACCCTCGTATAAATAAATAACATAAAACATAAACACTCACGCCTGTCACCCAGAGGGGTAGGCAGAGATTATGGACTTCCATTTGGCACGATCCTGACACACCTCTTTCGCTTCCTCCACATCCATATACCTACGCATACACGCTCGTCGGTTAAAGGTACTCTTGATTTGGCCCATTTTTAATATATCGCCAATTTGGTCGATAAACTTTCGCCTAGGGCGACCCTTCCCGACTATGCCGTTCACCTCTGCAACATAAATTTGCTTTGTCACTCTTTCCTCATTCATTCTTTCTACATGGCCAAACCACCGAAGCATTCCTTTCTTAATCCTGGTCACAATATCATCTTGCAAACCACACTCTTCTCTTATTAAACAATTTCTCACTCTGTCATTCAGCTTCATCCCTAACATACTCGTAGAAATGTTCCCTCGGTTTATAGCCTTGTGAAATATTTAGAGACGATGGCAAGAGACACGACGTTATGACATTGGTCCCTTTGGAAAGAGGTAAAGTCTTAATGTGGGATGCTAGTTCCGTAGACACTTTGGCAGCCTCTCATCTCAGTGGTACCTTGTTTAGAGCCGTGGTGGCATAAGAGGCAGCTGAACTGAGTAAGTGGTACAAATGTGGGATCCACGTGCGGTGAACTTCGTATAGGAACTCTATCCTCGACTAGTTGGTGATAAGAGGGCTGGTTCTTTTGTTGCTCAAAGAATAAGCCATTCAGCGAGGACACGCAGCCAGTGTTCTTGGCACGATATCACGGGGAGTAGGACTCTGTAATAATAAAGTTATTAGTTTTAGTTTTTTTAATATGGTTTTTTTAAAATATCATTTTAAAATATATATTAATATTCCTGTACATCACAACGTATTGAGAAACAATAAACAATTTATATTGACATTGATACGATCTCGGTATTATAAAATAAATATAGAATATCGATATATTGCGTTTATAAATATCAGTGAGTATGTGAAAGAATATCGATATTTCGATATTTTTTACTGAAGCCTAATTTCAATTTAGGGATGGGCAAGGGGTAAAAATATATCGATATATATCGAATCTATATTTTTTAACAGTATCGATATATATCGCGTGATTAATATCGATATATCGATATATCGCCATCAATTGCATGATGTAAAGATAAGGTCCAAAAACTGACAGTTGGACGACGAAAAAAACGATACAATATTTTAAAATAAATCGAAATTGATACGAATTCGATACTTAAAATTAATATCGATATGTCGATATATCGTGATTTAATATATCGGCGATAAATATCGATATTTTTAGCCCAAGCCTATTTCAATTCATTATTCGCAGAGAACAGAAACAGATGGATTGATGGATGAAACGTGAGTAAGAGTGTAGTGGTCAAAGGTAGTTGATTAGATTGACTTCTCTTTAGTTTGTGTTTGTAACACTCAAGTAATGTTCATAAAATAAAGTACTAATAACGTAGGCTTTGATGAAAAGTCAATAGTCATTTAAACTCTAAACCATGTGCAACAGTACTTTAGTGTATGTTTAAATCAAGTTATGTTTGTGAGAAAATTTGTGCAGGTTCTTGAATTACGGCGAATGGATTCTGATAAATTGGTTAATTTTGTCGGATGAAACAAATTTAACTCAAAATTTGAACAACTGAGGTTTAATGGCTGATTGTGGGTGCTAATATTAACGATGTATAATTCTTCGCTTGATGATTTTTGCGGATCTAAATTTTGGGTAAGTAGGTCTTTGACCCTGGTATAGCTACTTACCTACTGTACGATTCCGTATGTTGTGAAGCTTAAAAGTTATAAGTGGGGCTATAACAAGGTCGTAGTTGTCTACAATAACCTTGCCTTGTAGGTTTTCGATCTTTCACCCCTGTAAAATATTTCCTGAAAGGTTAAGTGGCGTTATAATACGATAACTAAATTTTAAACTCCGTTTATTTTTTCATGCAGGCATAAAGTTAAAAGTGTTTACTGTAAACCTGATTTATTATAAATTAATTTGAATGCCTTAGCTGATTGATGATGTAGTACCTTTTTTGTATATTGTTACTATTGCTTAGATCAAATGAAACAATAAAAAAAAAAACTATCTCTAATACTGACATTCTCTGCTTTGTATGGTGTGTTGTTTAATCTATCTACTCCCCAATACTTAAATGACCATTTCTAATATTATATTTTCATTTCCCACAATTGGTTTCTCAGATCTTCTGTCAATCTTTCTCTCTGTACTTCTGTGCACTCTTTCTCCTTTAGGAAATCCTGTACCGACGCTACTGTGCACTTCCCTACATACCTAGTGCTAAAACTCTTACTACGTCTTGATAAAATTTATGACTTAGAATGCTGTCATATTAATTACACAATGTCAGATTTCCATCACTATGAGAATGAGGTAATAAAGAGTACACCTGTTTTTACGTACACTCATGCATTATAATCCTCTCCTGCTCTTGTTTAGTCACCGTTAAGACTGCCTTGGCCAAAATTCGATATTGATTATTTTACTGTTTAATTATTATACTATTTAATAATTTTACTTTTGCATCTCTATACTTTGACTGGTAGCATTTGTACTCTTCAACATTATATATACCTATATATCTTTTTCACACATACCCTCTACTTCAATCTTGGTTTACATCAGTCTCCTCTGCAAAGGATGTCTGGAAGAGATCACATTAAGAGATTGTCTGTCTACACTATTATAATATTATAAAGAGGAAAGATTTGTTTGTTTGTTTGTTTGAATTGAATAGGCTCCGAAACTACTGGACCGATTTGAAAAATTCTTTCACCATTAGATTCCTACATTATCCCTGATGAACATAGGCTATATAATATTTTCAAAAAAGTTAGGGATCCGTATGAAAACTTCGTTAATGTAACCCAAGGTGAGAAAAAAATACCAAAAAGAATCCTTATATTGCGTATGCTGTGGAAACTATGGAGAGCAAAGTAATGTACTTCAGTTTCATAGAGGATATCAATATCTACAAAAAAGCCTGCGATACCATATGTTTAACTATTACAGTTATGTCACAATAACTACTTTTTCATGTTAAAATATGTAATAGTAACGCCGCTAGGCCACATTATTTATATCAGTACCTGTACCATGCATAATCACCAATTACGTTAACCATGTAATTTTAGTAACATGTTTCACTTTTTATATCTTTGTTAATTCAGCAACCGTCTGTCGTGATGTTTGTCTCGAAGTTCGCATGTCGCAAGGCGTAGATGCATGATATACGCGGGTGAAACCACGGGGCACAGCTAGTTGTAGAATATATTTGAAATTGCTTTTCTACTCACAATTTAGTATACAATAAAAATAAATAATAATACATTTTTAAAAATTATATTTTCATCACTTAATATAGGTTGTTCTCCTTAGAAGGTTGTTATTTAATAAAATCATGATACGTTTAGTAAGACAAGGTTTGACTATAGATGTCTGGTACTTGATTTTAATTATGTTTTCAGTTTAGGAGGCTTGTCAGGGTTAAACTTGAACCTTTTATACTGGTTTTGGATGTCAGAAATTCATTTGAATTAATTACGATAAAAATAAATTTCACTAAAAATTGCATATAACAAAACACAAATGTGTCAATTTGGTCTAGTATTATGAAGTAGACGTCCAGTACTTGATTTTAATTATGTTTTCAGTTTAGGAGGCTTGTCAGAGTTAAGCTTGAACCTTTTATACTGTTTTTTGATTTCAGAAATGTGCTTTGAATTAATTAAGATAAAAATAAATTTCACTAAAATGGCATATAACTAAACGCAAATATGTCAATCTGGTCTAGTATTATGAAGTAGACGTCCGGTACTTGTTTTTTTTTATAGCATAAGGGTGACAAACGAGCACACAGTCCACCTGATGGTAAGTGGTGGCTGTAGCCCATAGACATCTACATTTATCCTCAATTACGAATCAAAATGAAGATGCGTTGTCACCCGTGAGGACTTAAATGGAATGCCTCGGTTTCCAGGAAACAGGGTCTCCGGTTCTCTACACTCACCATACGAAACACAGCAGCATTTTACGCTGGTATTCTGTGAGAGCGTGGTTGTTCCCCGGTCGAGCCGACCCATTCGTGTTACAACTATACCAGAAATATAGCTGCGGCATGGCTCTACCACATATAAAATTATTTTAACTATGTTTTCAGCTTGGGAGGCTTGTCAGGGTTAAGCTTGAAGCTTTTACACTGTTTTCGGATGTCGGAAATGTGTTTTGAATTAATTACGATAAAAATAAATTTCACTATAAAATTGCTTATAACGAAATGTAAATATGATAATTTGGTCAAGTATTATGAAGTATAGATGTTGAGTAATTGATTTTAATTATGTTTTCAGTTTAGGAGGTTTGTTAGGGTTAAGCTTGAACCTTTTATACTGTTTTTGGATTTCAGAAATGTGCTTTGAATTAATTACAATAAAAATAAATTTCACTAACTAAAAATTGCATATTACGAAACGGGCCACCCATAAAAAGTTTAATTACTCGGACCCAGAAAATCCATTTGTGATTCAAGATGGGTCTCATGCACAACGAATTGAGGCATAGAGTGGAGAGCAGTCAAGATGATTTTCAGCAAAAAAAATTATAACAATTCACATTACATTGTTTCGTTTACCAATATCATAGCAGAGTTGAGGGCAATCTGACTTTATAGATAAGATAGGTCCAATCTGTACCAAAGTCGACACCACGTAGTCTTGTCTGCCCTACCCCTACAGTGTTTTTGTATAGCCGTAAGGATGGAGGGAGAGCAGACCCCGCCCACTGTAGGAAATTTCCGGCACCTGTGTGAGTCATAGCGGCTGAGACTATTCGCCGAGGCGACCAATAAGCCGAAGCTGCGGAGGTGAGCCTGTCATTTGCTACGCAAGTGCGAAGGGGCTGCACTTTCCGCCGGGCCATAGCTGTTGTAGAAGTAACTTTGATTCAATATTTCTGTGTAAAAAAGTGAGGTTATGATTTTACAAAAAACTCATTACCTATAAACTATCCTTTTCCGCAAGGGGAGTGGGGGGGGGGGTTCAATTAATACTGCATAGATGGACATAATAAATGTCTCTCTTAAGTTTTCAGTACTTTTACATGATTATTAAAATGACTTTTTTTTATTCAATATAGATTACAATACTTGAACTGAATGTCAATTATGTGTTTAACACTGGTACAAAAAGAAACCTTTATACTGGAAAGATCCGGCAAGAATCCCACCGAGACGTTTTTTATAATTTCATTCAAGTTTAAATATAATATATTGTACAATTAAATATAAAAACATTTATAAACAGCGAAGACCTCATTTCCAGAGGTTATTATCAATCATGTACTCTTTAGTACAGCATAATATGCTGCAGAAACAAGTTTGCTAGATAGTTTAGATTTATAGGGGCTCCACTGAAGCTTCGTGTCAGCTGTTATTCTGTTAATAACAGTGGATTCAACAATACTCGGCTGCTCCCCATGTGTAACCACACTGGTAATCACCTCTTTAACAGTGTTGTGAGTTTAATACATTTTGTTTTATTACATATTTATAGTACATTAATTTGGATAGATAGTTATCCAATTCGTGATAATATATTAATTGCACTTTAAATGTGAAAATCAACGAAGTATCATCATATAATAAAACTATATATCATGGTTATCCCTACCAAGTAAGGTAAGTCATTAATATAGAATAAGAACAGGAAGGGGCCAAGAATTGAGCCCCGAGGAACACCCATAGATACTACCGATCCGGGAGAACTACTCCCATTGATAAAAAATGTTTGCATTCTATTATTTCAATATGATGTAATAAGTTTAAGTGCCATATTATTTTACACCCTAATGATGTAGCTTCCTGATTAATAGTCATGTTGGACATAGTCGAAAACCTTGAAAAGGTCATAAAATATTTCTACAGCATATTCTGAGTTTAATCAATGTTTTAAGGGAAATGTGAAAGGTTTTTCTAATTATTACTCAAAATAAATGTGATATTTGCTAATATACCAATCTATACTAATATTATAAGTAAGGCAGAACTGTTTGTATGTGAATTTGAGATTTTCATGGACTACTTGCAACATATAAAAGACTTATCTTTCGTGTCATTCATCAAGTTGTAAATCATTATTCAAGATATTAATCATTTACTTTACATACATTTTAAAAGTTCAGAACATTAAGGAATAAATATATAAAACGTTAAAATGAATTATTTGTTTTGTGTTTGGTCAAATAGAAGGACCTGCATTGAGGAGGAGAGAATCGTGGAACCAAACGGGTCTCACATCACCAAATACTGAAACAAACAAATGTTTCAGTTTTGAATGATCGACCCAACAAACGGGTTCACGTTTGTATGACAAATCAATGCTTGAATGATAAGGCCACCAGAAATGAATGATTGACACATGTGTTACTGACATAGTTCAGAAATATTTCATATAATCAAACACTTCTATTTTAGGTATACTACTAGACGGGCTCTGCGGCATTAATACATAGCACACTAAGTTACGGTCAATTCTCCATAACTCCTTTAGCAGAAGACTAGTTTCTACCGACTTCAAAAAGGAGGAGGTACTCAAGTCGACTGTATGTTTTTATTTTTATTTTTTATGTGTGTTACCTCATGACTTTTTTCTGGATGAACCGATTTCGATGATTATTTTTTTATTTGAAAGCTGGTGCTTCTCATGTGG